GATGCTTGCTGGGCTGATGCAAGAGCTGGTGATCAAACCACCTACCAAAACCTGACTTGTTGAGATGCCATGTGCTCGGAAGAGCCACAGCTGCAAACCCACACTCTGTCTTTCCCACTACAGCACCATCTTCTGCTAAACTGTTCACACTCTGGTCCTTTCTGTAGCCTTCTGCAGCGTGGCTTCCACCGTTTGGACACGTTATCCTCTTCTCTATGTGCCCTGTCACTGCCCCAGCAGAGTGGGTACACGTAGGTCCTAAGTCCATCTTTGCTGATTGTCGGAGAGGTCTAAGGAAGAGGCTTCACCACACACATGTTAACCATGGTACCCTCTCAGTTTAAAGTCCTTCAGTGGTTCCCGTGCCTTTAGGACAAAATCCAAGCTGAGTTCATCAATTCTTTCCCCTTCTAGTCTCACCTGCATCCGTAGCTTCACCATCCTATAGCCTGTATCCTGCATCTGTATCCTCACCATCCTATAGCTTGTATCCCACATCCATAGCCTCACCATCTTATAGCCTGTATCCTGCATCTGTATCCTCACCATCCTATAGCCTGTATCCTGCATCTATAGCCTCACCACCCTATAGCCTGTATCCTGCATCCTGTGGCCTCACCATCCTATAGCCTATATCATGCTGGTTTGAAAACCCGAGTATTCAAATCCAGGTTCTGCTGTTCCCTCTTTTACTCTAGGACTAAGATTTAAGTATAAAATTAGGATTTGGGTGAGCTGGGAGGTAGGGCAAGGAGGCAGGAGAAAGGCATGATCTGTGAAAGAAATTAACCCAAACTAAGTGATATGAATGGTCACAGGGAAACCTGTTACTTTGTGTGCTAATTGAAACATTAGGAATAAATAAATGGAGTCAAACCTTGTAACAACAAAATATCTGCCAGGGAAAAACTAGGTCATTTGTAAAACTGTCTATTAAAGTCTTCACTCACCTTGGGTTTTGGTTTTCTTTTTTTTTTTAATTTTTATTTTTCCATTCAATTATTTACACTTCCTTCTCTCCTCCCAATCCCCTCCCGCTCCCCCACACCCCCTCCTCCCTCTCCCATCCTGCTTGAGAGAGGGCAGGGAACCCTGCCCTGTGGGAAGTCCAAGGCCCTCCCCCCTACCTCCAGGCCTAGGGAGCTGTGCATCCATATAGACTAGGGTCCCAAATTAAGGGATCCATGTTAGGGTTGGTTTTGGTTTTCTTAGCAGCCTTTCTCCACTGTTTTCAAGGGCTTGCTGACTGTGATGGAAAAAACCGGTTCTCCCAGCACTCAGGAGGTGGAGGTAGGAGGATTGGGAATTTGAGGTCACTCTTAGCTGTTGAGGCCAGCCTGGGCTACACAAGACCCTGTCAAAATGGAACAAAACAAACAAACAAAAAAAGAATTAGCCAAGGTATTATCATAATCCCTTTGCGTGATGCTTATGGCTTCTGGGCAGGAAGTTGAGTTAAGGGTTGACAAGGTCTTTGTCATCATCCTATCAGAAGCACCAACAAAGCAGTGCTGGTCACTGCACTGGAACACAGACTTGACTAAGACATGCAATCCTCATCACTCAAAGCCGAGGACTGTGATTGGGGGGGATGTTGTAAAGGACGAACTCCTGTCTGTCCTTGGAAGAGCCTGAAGTTGGAGTTTACCTGGTGCCACAGGGCTTTATTTGGCACCAGAAAAATAGGAGTAGAAATCTGGCCCAGAGGACTTCTTTCGGATGGCTGGGACACAGCCCAGTCTTTCCCATAGGACCAACTGTTTCTTCGACATGGTGTTCATTTATTGTTTGAGGACAACCTGCTCTCTATCACTGACTGACTACCACAGTATAAATACCCTTATTATGGTGTTTTCAATCCGCTACTCTAATGCCAAGCAGTTCCCACAATTCCGCAACACGGCCCACCTGTCCATAGCAAGCTGACTCTAGCATACTAGTGTGTGGAGTTCTTCTATCAGGTGATCCTTCTGCATCATAGGAGCCCCGTAATCTCCACTGTGAGTGTGGGGGTCAGTGTGGAGCAGATAGACCCCTAGAAATGGGGGTGTTTTCACAGTGCCCATGTACTCACCTGGATCCTAGAAATGGGGGTGCCTTCAGTGCCCATGTACGTACCTGGATTCTGAAACTTTGCCTTGCTACCCTGGTCTTGTACCCAGAGACACAAAGGTTCTCTTTTGGGGTTCTTGGTCTCATTAATAAAAGAATTTAAAAACAGACTCAGAAGGAGGCTCGAGGAGAGTTTATTCAGTTTTATTCAAGTGTATGAGGAAAATTATAGTATACGCTAGCTGAAAATGCTGGCCACTGCCTGGAGAAGAGATGGGGAAAGTCTTGTCCTTTAGGTTAGACATGGGATATATTTAAAGTTCAGAGCACCCCCAAGGGTGGAAGGGGGTAATGAGCTAGGAAAAGAGCCCCAGTCTTTCTACTATGTAGGGAGCGTGTGGTCTTCATAGCGCTCCCCCACTGTATTTCATGGGTGTTTTTTGGCCCATGCTCTGCTTGCTGGATAATTCCAGTAAAGTGGGATTATCTGTCTTCCTCTGAACACTGGCGTCTTCAATGCTAATCTTGCGGCTGCTTTCTTCCATCCTGAGTCTCTGATCGTAGGTCACAGCCTTATTGGTCTTAGAGCCTGGATCTTCATTCCTCTCCAAGTGCAGCCATCGGGGTTCTGTTCAGAGCTGTATGTTTTGTTTAATTCTCCCCATCAGGTGTATGCTTTCTGCGATGTACTGATTCAATTAGCCTCCATTCCAGGGCCCATTGTGAGCCAATTCTTGGGGTGTTAGCCTGTACGGAGGGACCATAATCTCCACCACAGTGTCATTAGTTAACTGTGTGCTCCAGAGACCCAGTGTCACTTCCAAGAGCAGGTGGCAGCAGGGGAGGGGAAGGCTCCAGGTCACTACTATCCTATCATCCAGGTTCTGTGTAGAACTGTCTGAGCTGGAGTCAGGTTAGAGACCCGGGGCCATTAGAGCATTAATTTCATGGCCAGGATTTTTTTCACCTTAAATTAACACTCCATTCAAGCTGAATGTCTTCCGATCCAGTTGAGTAAGCCAAAGGTATCTTTAGAAATTTTCTGCAGTAAAGAAATATTTTAGGCAGACCGTAGAAGTAGCCAGATCTTTTGCCATTCCTTGTGTTTAATACAAGGCGGAGGGTACCAGCAAGGCCTTGGCTATGTTTGTGGTCCAGGTGTTCACACGTTCAGTGGCTCACCTGCTGGGGGAGGGGTGGTGCCCAGAGCCATGTTGCTTAGCCTGCAGCCCTGCGAAGAGCCCACACCCAGAACGCAGAGCCCCTGGAGTGTACTATGAGCTGTGACCACTGACCAGGACATAGGAGGACTTACCTAGTTAACTAGCTCATGACTATAATCCTAGCACTTGGGAGACTGAGGCAGGAGGATAACAAGTTTGAGGACAGTCTTGACTACATAGCAAGACCTTATTTCAAAAATTAAACAAACCCGCCACCACCCCAAAAGCTACAAGAAATTGGGCTTTACAAACGTTTAACTTCTACAGCCCTGCCCAGCTCAATGCTGGGAACTCAGGCTCTCTGGGAGCATACCAAGCTAAAAGAGTTACAGTTTCTCTTGTGCAAGGAAGTAGAATCAGTTGGGCATGTCAGCAGCCAACCTGACTGAGGGGTGCATCGTTGGGGAGCTTGACCTGACTGAGGGGTGCATCGTTGGGGAGCTTGACCTGACTGAGGGGTGCATCGTTGGGGAGCTTACCTCTTGACGTCCATTATGTCCTCTAGAAACAGGACTACTGTGCCAAAATGGCCTCAGAAGAGGCCTCTTCTTAGTCAGGGTTTCCCCAACATTATCCCCTGAAGATCCTAAAACAGCCCCATGGCAAAAACAAGCCCTCTTCCTCCCCAGACCAATGAGTCCATGGCTTCCCTTCACTTCTGTGTATCCACAACTTTACCACCACTCAGGGATTCTTGTTGAATGGTGCTTACCTCTGGAGCGTTCTGGGAATGCTAACAGCCATACCTTGGCTAAGGGACCCTGCAGACAAGGCCAGCCACAAGCCTGCTCTGCCCACACAGAGCCTCACCCACACCTCTTGACAAACCCTTCACTCCTGGAAAAAGCAGCTTTTTACTGGCATGGGGCTAGGGACATCACTGTGCCTGGGCTGGAGGAAAGAAAAAAAAAAACCTCAAGAGACAGAGACATGCATTTTTCAAGGATCTAGGAATTATGGGAGCAGATGGCCTGTAGGATCCAATTTTGATGCCAGGAACAGGTTTCTGTATAAAGTAAATATTTTCCCACTGTGGATCTCCGGTGAGCGTGTGGAGAAGCGTATTTCCTAAAGATGCAAATAAGCCTAGTCAGAAATAAATATTGAATGGAAACTTCAAAGCCTCTCGATTTCTCCAGTTAGAGACCCTGAAGATTTCTGTCCAAACAGGCAGACACACAGGTAGATGCAGGCTTGGGGAGGGGGAGGGGGAAGGTTGAAGAAGGGAGGGTACAACCGTATTCTAGTGCTCATCTCTCCTCTGGGGGTGGGCAGGGTGAGGGAGAGCAGGCGAGCATAAAGAGGCATATTGTAAAAGAATTACTGTTATGTCTGTCCAAAGATGGTATTATTCTCTCTCCCTTCATATGTATTTTGTATTTGTCATAGACACATACCATATCATACATATTTATGGGCTATGGAGGTGACATTTCAAGACATGTATCTGCAGTGTGTAATGATTTGACTAATTGGCGCGTTCATTGCCCTAGACGTGTATCATGTCTTTGTACTGTGAACATCCCAAATCCTCTACTAACTGTTTTGAAGTCACAATTAAGTCTCAGCAGCCACAGCCGCCGCTCCTGTGCTGTGAAGCCTAGGAAGTTGATCTTCCAGGCAGCAACACCCTGAGCCTGTTATTAGCAGCATCTCCCCAGACCCCTTCTCTCAGTTCAGAGGCCCGGGGTGTTTTCAGTGTACCACCACCCCTTTCTGTTGCAGGTCGCGCCTTGCGGACTTTTTTACCAACTGCCAGCCCGAGTCAAGGTCCGCCAGCAGCTGTCTAAAGGAGAACTATGCTGACTGCCTCCTGGCCTATTCTGGACTGATTGGTAAGACCTGGGAGGGAGCAGGGCGGGGGACGGGAGAATCTGGATTACAGATCTGTCTGCTGCAGCCTGTGATGTCTGTACAGGAGACAGCTTCCAAGGAGCCTCTGTATTAGAGTTTAGATAGCCTGGAGAAAGGAGGAGGGAGGAGGAGGGAGGGAGGAATGGATGCAGGAGAAAGGAGCACGGGGAGGCTCCAGATTCTAAAGGAAGTGAGGCGTCTCCACTGGGGAACTGGCCACGCAGAACAAAAGCGGGGGAGCCCATGGGCCTTGGAAGAAGAGAGAAAGGCAAACACAGTTAATTAAATAAGGGAACTTTGGAGAGCAGGAGCTTGGAAGTCAAAGAAGATGTTCCCAAGAAAGGCCCTTTGGAAATCAATTCCAACACTAAGAAGTTTCCTGCCATTACTGCCTGGTCATTTGACTCCTCGTGTGCAAGGGATTGTTTAAGGCTAAACTTCTTTTCCTGTAAATAACTGTTGGGCCATACTTTCAGTATACAAGAGAGCAGTGAAATTAAACAAAGGTAGGGGGAACATCCCAACAGAGGCAGATTTACATCAGAGGCCGGCAGGAAGAAAGCTGGTATCCACAGGTCCCAGGGACAGCTGAAGCTTCTCTGTCAGGGCTCCGTCACAGTTGGCCTTTGAGCAGGAACACTGAAGACTGTGGAAAAGGAGAGTAGCTGCAGCTGTCATACAGCCCTGGTTCAGCGGCATCTCCCTCCCCGGGGCCATGTTCGGTCACACGCATCACCAGCAGGAGCTGCCTTCCTCCAAGAAAGACAGCACAGGCTACCCTCCATGAGAATGTCTCCAGTGATTGCCTTTGGTTTACGTGAGAGAGCCTTCAATGCAAAGCTGTTGCTAGTTCTCGACGCCCCAGCCACTCCCAACTTCCCAAAGGGACGTGTGTGCTCCACATGTAATACCTCTGATAATGCTGTCTCCGCTGCTCCAGCTACGCACCATTCCTGTGGCTCTAGCCAACGAGCGTGCACGCCCTCCTTAAATTGGAACTGCAGAAACGTATTCATGCCCTCTTTGATGAAGGTCTTAGTCTCTATTTGGGATTACGTATGAAAAGATGGAATTGCAGAAACAACAAAAGCAATTAAGGCATACTCGCTGCTTGAAAAGGAAAAATAACACCGGGGATGCCCCCAGAGGACAACGTCAATCTCTGCAGATGTAATCATAGTTAGTACTTCAGCCTGTGTCCTTCCAGGAGTTCGCGCTCATGAACTCCCCTGGAGTGGCCAAGGAGAGGCCCTGCCAGCATTTCTGTGAGCTCACTCCTAGGCTTGGCAAAGCCTTCCATGCCTGAGGATGATGAAATGGACGGAACAAATGGTGGATGGATTGTGTTTGTGCAGGCCAAGAAATCTTTCTCTTCTGGTTCTGGGTCTCTTCTCCGTGGTTCCCTGAGTCAGTGGCACCTGACTTCTGCACAGAGCTGTGTGTGCCTTTTGCGCATGTCAGAATCCACTGTAGCCAGCATCCGAGGGGCAGGGGGTTTGACCCCTCATTCTGTCACTGGTGCCCGGTGAGTTAGACCTCCCTGGACGATGCAGATTAAAGTCTCATGTTAATAATGAGATCCAAGTTCAAAGAAGTAAGAGCAGTGGGGCAATGACAATGTGTCCTTGACCCTTGAAGAGCTTCTAGAACCATTCTCTTTATAGCCAGGCTCATTCTCTGGATCGCTGACCCATTTCTTCTTCCTTCCATAAAGCAACTAAAAACAGAAAGTTCTTGGCATCCGTGGGCATTGCCTGGTGTGAGCCACCCAGGAGAAGACATTTGGGTTGTGTTAAATATAAATGCATTGTGTATTTCTCCCAGCAGAGAACTCACCAGAGAAACCACAAGTCATAAGCAGGAAAGCCCACACAGCATCTCTGTGGGAACCGTTGTGGCCCACAGATGATACTTCAGGAGTCGGGCTGGGCAAGCGCCACTGGTTTTCCCCTCCCTCCCTCCCTCCCTCCCTTCCTCCCTCCCTCCCTCCCTCCTTCTGTTCTTTCTTCTTCTTTTGATAGGGTCTCAACATAGCCAAGGATGACATTGAACTCCTGGTCCTCTTGCCTCCATCTGCCAAGTTCTGGGACGATGGCGTACGCCACCCACACAAGTCCACCTTTGGGCAGATTCAATAGGCACACTACCAACTGAACTTCATCCCCAGCCCCATTTCTGCTGCTTTCCCACCTTGGATGAGTTTGTTGACATCGGTTGAGAATCTGGGAGAGGAAGCCTCTTTCAGAACATCTGTAGGCAATCAGGATGTGGGGATCTTATTGGAGGCATCCACTTTTCCCTGTGTTACCCTAAAGAAACCATTTGCCTCCGAGGAAACTGGATTAAAAGCCTTAAAAGAATTCTTACGTGCACCCAGTACTATTTATGAAGATTAATGACATTTTCAAGAAAATGCAAGGGATTTGGAAGCTCATACATTCTAAGTTAATTCTCGCCTTCTCCATGACATCTATACCATTTGTGCAGGAAGAAAATACCCTAAATACAGCCCAAGGAGTTTGCTTTTAATTTTTAAAGTAAATGTATAAATTATTTTATGTGCTCAAGATAAATCGCCAAGAAAATGCTCCGCTTAACATACTTCCCCACCCGGCAAACACGGCATTTTTAATTAGCCGTGGCATTTCCACCGTCAGACGGACATTTGTTTCTTCCTGAGCCACGGAAAAGTCCATGTCAACACAGGAGGACAACACGCCTTGTGTTTTTCTTCCTGGGCCACGGGAAAGTCCACGTCAACACAGGAGGACAACACGCCTTGTGCTTTTCTTCCTGGGCCACGGAAGTCCACGTCAACACAGGAGGACAGCACACCTTGTGTTTTTCTTCCTGGGCCACGGAAAAGTCCACGTCAACACAGGAGGACAACAGGCCTTGTGTTCTTCTCTTTCAGGCACGGTCATGACCCCCAACTACATAGACTCCAGCAGCCTCAGTGTGGCCCCCTGGTGTGACTGCAGCAACAGCGGCAACGACCTGGAAGAGTGCTTGAAGTTCCTGAATTTTTTTAAGGACAATACGTGTCTCAGTGAGTATTTAAAACAACAAAAAGCACGCCAGAGCATCCATGTTTTCTCCTTGAGCTCAAATGCTCCCCTTAATGTTCCTTGCCCCCTCCCTCTCCTTCCCCTTCCCTGATGGCGAGTGGTGACTCTTGCTTCTTTTGGCACACTCAGTGACACAGCAGGGAGCCACACAAGTGATGAGCTGGGTGCTGCCAAGACCGTGCTCCCAAAGGCCAGCGAGGATGAGAGATTCAAATGTTTGAGAGTGTATTGTGTGGGAAAGAGTATTTCTACCCACAGATCAAGTTCTGATCTTGGCAGCCAGTGTTGAGTCCATTCGCAGGTTCTGAAAACCTGGTAGGAATGTACAATGTGCAAAGCTCAGGCAAAGTGGATAGGACAGGCCTCCAAGGACTCTTCGGGGAAATTAGAATGTTGACACGGCAGCCTCTTGCATCGTCAGGACTGGCTCCGAGTGAAAGCCATGGATCTATCTTGATGGGGAAGTCCGGCAGCACAGCCGAGACAGTCAGGATGTGGGTGCTCCTGGGAGCTGAGCTGAGCCCTTGTGAGCAGGGTGCTCCTCTTTGGGAGCAAACACTCTTTAGGCAATTTAGAATCATGTTTGACAAAGGGATAGAGATGTACAGATGGACCCCAGGTCTCCCTAGCATACGTCTCCATGTAGGACGATCGTGCTCTGCACGGCTCTCCAGCTGAGACACAGCTCATATTGTGGGAGTATAGAATTCATGCAGTTCTACACGAGCTGCACAGGAACCCTAGGCAATACAGGTATCATATCCACGTGACAGCGCTGAGTTAAAGATTAGTATTCTCCCAGACTCGGAATGGTAGAGTTAAGATCTAAAGCTTCAATCTCCGTGCAGCCCCCGACTTCCAAAGACCATGTTCATGAATGGTATTTGGAGGACCTACTGTAGAAGCATGGTCCTGAGCATCAAGGGCCAGGTCCAGCTTCTTGAGTGACAGGCACCAACATTCAGCCGTGCCCCTTATGAACTCTGTCCTCAAGTGATAAATTCTGCATGATGCTGTATGCTTACTTACTATCTTTTGAAGAATTATCTGGTAACTTACCAACTCTTTGGAAAATATCTCATGGGCATTTCACTAAAATTTCCTCCGTTGAAAAGTAAAACCCAACTTCTTGATAAATGCTTCAAACAATGCAACTTCAGTGCCTTACTTCGGTTCTCCTAAAAATAAAATGATGTTTTGAGTTCTTAGCGTTCAGACCCACAAAATGTGCCATCAGTGTGGAGGCATTTGCAGAGACCTTGGGTGTACCCGCATGTTACAGGAGGACCTCTTGTTTGGGCTTTGTTTGATGCATTGGGTTGTTTTGTTTTTTCTTTTTGTTTATTTCACTTTTTGTACTCTCCTGGTTGAATACAAGTTTAAGCAAAAATAAAGCAATGGAAAATTTGTTCCTCGGAGAGAAATTAAAGTTGTCCCTCCTTGGCAACATTTCAGGGAAGGGGGGGGAACAGGCTTATGAATGACTTAAATACAAATGATTGCCAAAGGCAGCCACCGGCTTTTATAATCGTTCTGTTTAGCCTGGTTTGGAAGGGACACAGGGCTGCAAATGCAGTGTCTTACAAAGGGCCCTGACCTAGAAGCTGGTACAGTTTTGTTTTTTTGGATGTGACTCATGTAGAAACCTCATTCCACCTCCGTCCAGTGAAGCCAGGCTTCTCTCACATCGCCCTACCGTGAACGCAACTGAAATCAATTGTTTGGTCATGGTTTGGGAATGGGAAGTGGTCATTTTCCAGCCAATTCATGGCACATGGATTTGTAGGGATGAGAGAAGAGGAAGGCGAGAAAGCATCTGTGTCCTCCTCCCAGGGGCCTCCCGGGCCACTTAATCTAGACCCCGGCCCCATTCCTCATGCCCCTCCTTTCTTCGTTGTCTCTTAGCACATACTGTCACCCACGGATGTCTTTTTGCGTTTTTCATTCCTGGACTGAAATTCTGCTTATGGATACGGTTGCTTCCACTGCTATTCAGGACCTCAGGCTTAGTACACGGAGCCATCCCTGGAGTTTAGGGTTAGATCAGTAACATGTCAGAGAATGAGTGTGAGAACAGCTGAGCTCAGCGGGATGAGGCTGACGCTCCTGGGACAGCAAAGGCAGTCTTCACAAACGACAACTTTCTCTCCTGTGTCTAACAAGGAAAAGCAGAGTGTTGCGTTGTTCGTGTCCTGAGGTTGCTGAAAGAACCTGGTCTACAAGTTTGCCCTTCTCCATGTCTTGTGTAGCGTGTAAACCACAGGACCTAGCTGGAAACACAAGCTGCATTTGTATGATTTGGAAGCTGTCTCTTACACCCCAAATGTAGAGCCGTAGAAAACTAACTTTCGGTTCTGCTAAACTGATGGATAGCAGTTCTGAGATAAAATGTCACTTCTAAGGGGGAAGATGAGGCTTAGTTCTTTTGTCTTCTGTATCAGAAAGTGCCAAGTAAGCGTCATGTATTAGCAATTTGCACTTTCAGGTCCCAAATGAAGGAGTTTGATTTCTTATACAATGAATATGAAATAAAAAATTCCTAAATCCAGGGCAAATCCCCGAAGACCTGATTAAAAACTGTTTTTTATTCATTTTGGGAAGGGAGCAACACACAACCAATTTACTCTTGCCGCAAAAACAATCTAATCCCATGAAATTATAATAAGCTTTGAAAGTTTCACATTCCAAACTTTTCATTTAGACGGGGCTGTGCCTATCTAATTATGCAGATTCTGTTTGGAAGACTAGAAGCAGAAAGGAGAAAAATAATCACACTTAAATTTTCACTAGATATTGATGAGGTTTGAGGTAGATTTTTCTTCTGAAGGAACTAGCTGCATTTTGCTGCCAAGTGAGTGTTCGCGCTGCCTCGGCTTCAGGGGAAAGAGAAGACACCAGTTAATTTCCATTCAGTACAGAGTTCTGACACAGTGCAGGGATTTCTTTTTTCTTGGAAAAATATGTAGCTGTGGTGCTACTTCTGAGTTTGAGAATGTCTTTCAAAGGGCCCATAATAAATACTTGCTTTATTTATAGTATAACAAGTGTCTCGTTCAGTGTTTAATGAGTGGATTGATTTTTGAGCACCAAGAGATTGGTTCTCAGAACTAGAAAGGTGGATGGGAGGTTGGGTAGATGGATGGGTAGATGGGAGGATGGGTGGATGGATAGATGGATGGAAGGATGGGTGGATGGGTAGATGGATGGGAGGATGGGTGGATGGGAGAATGGGTGGATGGGAGAATTGGAGGATGGGTGGATGGGTAGATGGATGGGAGGATGGATGGAGGGGTAGATGGATGGGAGGATGGGAGGATGGGAGGATGGGCAGATGGGAGGTTGGATGGATGGCAGGACAGGTGAGACATCCGGTGCTATAACCAGAATTTCTCTAGTGTCTCTTTGGCCATATGCATCCTGTATGTTATGTTTGCTGCTTTCCTCTGAAACGGGCTTTCCTTTTGTTTACTATAGAAAATGCAATTCAGGCCTTCGGCAATGGCTCAGACGTGACCATGTGGCAGCCAGCCCTCCCAGTACAGACCACCACTGCCCCCACCACCACTGCCTTCCGGGTCAAGAACAAGCCACCAGGGCCCGCAGGGTCTGAAAACGAAATCCCCACACACGTTCTGCCACCTTGTGCAAATCTTCAGGTGAGAAGTGGGTTAGGCTTTCCCGTTGGAGCTGCCTTCCAGGAGAACGTGTACTCATACAAAAGATACACAGGGCAGGTAGCAATGCCACTCAGATTTGAATCATTTTTCTAAAAAAAAATACATGTGTACACTTGTGTTTTATTTATGGTGTGGGAGTCATGTGCATGAGGAAGCCAGAGTACAACCTCGGTGTCAGCCTTTGGTCAAGGCTCTATAAAACAAGGAGGCTGGGCAGATGCATCACCAAGGAGTTTTTTTTGGGGGGGGGTGGTGATTGTAGAGCCGGACTGGCTATCTTTGTGGCTGCTTCTGTGTTTGTGATAGGCAACAACATACCAAAGAGAGAGAGTGTGCTCTTGGCTTGTCGTCATCACAGCTATTCAGACAAACATGAAATGTTGAACTATCTCTGAAGGTAAACGTAGAGTCCTGGAGAGGCTAATTATTTACAAGGCAAAACTAAATGCTATTCCAGAGCCAGAGGAGCTGCACAGTGTATGAAAAGCCTTTATGTGCACCGAGTGCAGTGAAAATGATCAAGAAACTTCTGGAAGACAAACCCAGGTGTGCCTGAGTTGAAAATATAAACATTGCCGTTTCCCATCTTCAGTCAGGGTGTGTGTTCTGTCATTTTACTGAGTTGTCATAGCAGTGAGTATTCAGCTGTGAACAAGACATTAGTGATTTGGAAGTTTGCATGGTTCTTACGCACTTCGCTTCCTTGGGTGCTCCCGTGGTGGTTGGTGGGGAAGGGCAGTTACTGCGGCTTGATGCCCTAGCTCTTTCATCTGAGGACACAGGCTTCTGGAATATGATGTTTCTATTCAAGTCTGCAGAGATGGTGGACCACACAGCAGTGCTGGTAATCTAAGAACATCATCTATCCATGGTTGTTCCTATATGCTGAGGGAGGAGGTAGCCACACGGTGGCATCTGCCTTCTGCCATGCCAGGGAAACTAGTTAGTCTAGTTGCTGTTGTTTTGCTTGTTACAGGGTCTCATGTGAGCCTTCCAGGCATTGAACTTGCTGTGTATATAAAGGGGGCTTATAGACATGTGCCGCCATGCCTAGTGCATGCAGAGTTGAAGGTGGAGTCCAAGGACTTGGTGTGTGTTACTTTCAAGCCATTGTGATGGGACCTCACTCTTCCCGAAGAGCGCCTCTCCTTCCCCAGCTCCCTGACAAGGGTCAGCCCCTGTGGAGCAGTCCTACGAATGCCTTCTTCACCCACAGCGTCATGCTCTCTAGAAAGTGTTGAGCAGTTTTCCCCCTCTGTATGACACTGCCCCACTCTTCGTGCCCTTCGGCTGAGCTTCAGTTTCTGTCTCATAGACCTTACGGGTCCTCACTCCCAACACACAGTTTCGTACATAATCATTCACAGCAGGGAGACATCAGATCACACCGCTCAACAGCAGTCCCAGCCTTCTTTGGATTTCCGAACCACTCTCTAGACCCTTACCATCTTCAGTTCCCCCTCTGCAGTGAGTATCAGAGCTGGGAGGCCACATAGGGCGTGCTCAGTGGCATCTACTGCTCCTGCAGCAGGGCCCTTGGTCTAAGTGAAGAAGAGATGTGTTGAGTCTTCCCGGCTGGTGGGGGCGGATCTAGCATCAGAAATGGCAAGATCAGTCTCTTTCCTGTTTCTGTTCAGGACTCTGGCCCTGTCTCCTCACTTTCCTGCTGCACATGGTCAGCCTTGGCTCTCTGTGCTTCCCATCCTCAGATGCCAGTGTCAGTAAACACAACACAGATGAAGGATGAGACCTCGTCATCACAAGCTGAGGACGGTGGGCCAGGGATGCTTTCTGAGTAGCAAGGGGGGGGGGGCTGTGCTTGAGCAGAGTCTGCACCGTTCTGTATACATTTAGATCCACAAAGGGTGACTCAGGTGCCACCCAAAGTCTGTTATTAAGTTTCCTGTGACTGAAAAACTACATAGACCCCAGCATTCAAAAACTAAAACAGAAGTTCACTCCTCTCTCAACACAGTCTAGCAGGCTATGTTCAGCTTGCCCAGTTTCAGAAGGTCAGATAGGGTAACTAGGTGACATCTCAGACTGGAAACCATGACACTCCAGTGTCCTTCCAGGAGTGGAGAAGACTCTGTTAGCCATAAAGTGTGTTCTCTGTGTCTGCAGCTCCTTTCCCTGTCACTGTCTCAGCTCCTGACGTGTGGTGTTCTTGTGGTACATATCTCACCTCCAACACAGATAGAGCCAGCCAACCCTCCCTGCCAGGAAGAGTCTATACCACTGCACAGTTGTCCTGGCAACGCCGAGGCACACATGACATCATTCCCCAGAAACTATGCCTTTCCCCTCCCTGTGTTGGCACAGGAGCTCTGCTTTGTGTGATGCTCATCAGGGTTGCCCTGTTGACTTCTCCGCTGAAAGGGCTGAAGGAATTGGATTGGCCGGGATGGAGGGCGGCCACACCTCTCTTCATGTGTTACACACCATGGAGTTGAGCAGCCTCTGGCATCTGGGAGAGGAGGCTTTCCCTGAACTTGTCTTTGGGTCTGAGATGTAAGATGAGGGTGTTAGCAGGGTGGCCTTAGCCCGTGTGCTAACTCTTTAGGCCTCCTCCTCTGTGTCCCAGGAGTGTGAGTTTGGCCCAGCTGCTAGCATTGAGGCAGTGGGCAGAGTGGATGCTCCAGAAAGACTGCAAAAGTGACCATCGTGATGACTGACCCTTAGTCAGCTGGTCACATGGTCCATCTGTTCCAGAGGAATGGTGCTGCTGGACCCTGCTGTGGAATGGGGGTCTGGGGTGTGCCAAGGAGCGCTGGTGTGAGACAGAAGTGGCAGGAGGATAGTGGTGTGTTTTCAGATGTGTCACACACACCCCCCCCCCGTCCTCCTCCTCCTCAGAGCACCCCTGTGGGGCAGACATTGCAGGTATCCCTTCTTCTCACAAACGAGACAACTGAGGGGATGGTGACTTAACCAGCAGGCGGGCTCGCCCCAAGGCTGGTGTATCTTGTTGTCTTCTTTTGTGGCACTTGAACAAGTCAGTCTTTCTGCACTGGGAGTAGAGAGTGAGAAGAAGCAAAGGACAGGAAAGACGGAGGGGGAAGCTGCCCTAGTTCCCGCTGAAGGTCGTTGCAGGGATGAAGTGGCAAATCTCAAGTCCACACTGCACTCAGGACTACAGGGTCAGGACACAGGGTACGGACGGTTGAGCGTTTGCCAGTGAGTTTGTAGCTCCATGACCTCTTTAGGGTGACCTACATGGAGAACGGCTGAAGGATGATTTGAAGCCATAGACGCAGGTTAGTGCCAGTGACGAGTGAACGTCTCCCTCTGGCTGATTCAGGGCTCTGCTCAGTGCAGGCTCCCAGGAGGTGCATTCTCTGCCTCTGCCTTTCTATTGTGCCAGCCTGGCTGGAGATGAATTACCTTTAGCCAGGGGTCCTAGAAATATCTTCGAATGGTGTTTGTCCCCGCCGCCTGTGTTGTGACTCAGATTAGAACTGACTCCAACCAACTCGGGATCCATCGGTAACGGATCTGGAGACAGTCAGAGGCGCTGGCAGCCTTAAAGTTCACTTCCTCCGAGATGTGCCTCTTGCAGTATTTTTAAATGCACAATAACATGAGAAGACTCTGGAGGGCTGGAGAATCTGTCTTAACATTTGAGATAGACTTCCCCTTAGAAGGAAAGGAAAGAATAAACATATGTTTTTTAAAAGTCTTCCTAGAACCACCTGGGGAGTGGGTGGCCCTGCCCTGGGCCTGGAAATCATGGGTCCATGGCTGATGTGGAAGGTTCTACAAAAAGAACCAAAAACAAAAAGAAAAGAAAAAAATCTGAAAAGAAAAAACAAAAAAAAAAGTTGATTGATTAGTATAAAATGTCAACAAAATGTCCAAGTGCTGACCCCCTGAGGAGGTAAAATACCGGGTTTAGGGTAACCTGCCAAGCTCCCAGGGCAGGATTAATTGGCAGTCATATTCATAACAAGTGTGAGGCAGGCTGTGCTATTGTTAGCCTGTCTCTCCGACGTGCGTCAAGTGGTCACACGAGAAACAAAGAAACCTTAATAATTCTATAAACCACTTTATCATCTGTGCACTCGAGTGGTCTGGCAGCTGGAAACACTTTCAGTATTTAAACCAAAAGAGTGTACTTATCACTAATTTAAAGTAAACATCTCTGGGGATGTAAGTGGATATTGGAAACTTGTCTGTGTGGAGTCACTGTCTTAGTGCCAGGGCCCCCCTCCACATCAGCGAAGACCTCTTGATGCGGTGTCCAGAGACCTCCAGGATCCAAGTCTTACTATAGTAGCATTGCCTTGGGTATCTACAGCAGAAAGCTTCCCACGATTACTAAAATCCATACCCAATGTTCTTTTGTGGGGAAAGGGTCTCACGTTGTATTCCAGGATGATCTCAAGTTTGTGTTAGTCTGCTTACCTCAGCCTCCCAAGTGCTGGGGTCTTAGATGTGAGTTACCACACCTTAATCAGGTTCAGTTTGTGCGTGTAGTTTGTGCGTGTAGTTTTGCATGCATGCTTGTTGCAGGTGAAGTGTGCATGTATGAGTGTGAATGTGTAGGGCAGAGGTCAGCCTCCAGTGAGTTCTTTAGGAAGTCATGCATCATATTCTGAGGCAGGAATAGCGCTCACCCCTGGAACCTGGAGATTAGGTTTGGCCGGATGGGCAGTGAACCCCCATGAAGATTCGCCTGTCTCTGCTTCCCCAGGGCTGGGATTGCAAGCATGTGGCTGCTCATATGTGTCTCCTGGTGGCCAAACTCAGGCCCGTGCTGTTTGCATGGCATGAGCTTCACTCACTGAGTCTCCTCCTAGAAAACCTGGGTTCGTTTTGTTTTAACTTTCTCCTGGGGTTGCTTGAATCCTCTTAGCTGGTAGATGCACTGGGCTTCCCTGCTGGAGGCTAGCCACTGCAGCCTTTGGACAGGCCTTTGAGCCCGAGAGAGTGATGCAGGGGGCCGCAGAGCACCTCAAAGCCGAGATGTAGCTGGATGG